CCCTCCCCCCAAGCCCCTGGCAACCACCATTCCACTCTGCATCTATGAATTTGATGACTCTAGGTACTTCGGGTATTTGGGGAATCACACAATAGTTGCCCTTTTGTGAACAACTCATTTCCCCTAGCATAACGTCTCCAACTTTTATCCACGCTGTACCATGTGTCAGAATCTCCTCCCTTTTTAGGGCTGAATAATATTCTGTTACATGTGGCACAATCTTTCTGAAGGGCAATTTTGTAGTAATCATGGGTTTTAAAATGCCATTATTCTTTGATACAATCCCATTTTCACCACTACCACTAGGTATAGCCTGAAGAAATATTTGCACATGTGCCATAAAAGGCATTAAAAGGCACTGCAGCATTGTTTTAATAGTGAAAAATTAGGGGCACCTGGGTGGCTCAGCTGGTTAAGCGTCTGCCTTCAGCTCGGGTCATGATCCTAGGGTCCTGGCATCGAGCCCCGCATCGGGCTCCTTGCTCAGTGGGGAGTCTGCTTCTTCCTGTCCCTCTGCTGCTTTCTCGCTCTTTCTCTATCTCAAATAAACAAATAAACACCTTAAACAAAATTAATACTGGAACCCATCACCATCAGCAGTGGTTAGGGAGGCAGGGGAGAGGTCACGAGGGAAACGGGAAATAGAAAAACACTGTGTTAAACATCAAACCAGTTCTTCAGAGCTAAACTTCCTGGAACCTTTAACATGCTAGTGCACATTGTAAGTGTCTAGGAGGGAGACAATGACCTCCGGAGCTCTTGTGACCACAGCATCTTTTTCACAGTGGTTTGGAGGACAAAGTTTGGGAAACACTGAAACCAGAATTTTCTGAAGGTAAAAATATTCCTTAAGAGGAGTCCTGATAGGTGTTGGATGAACAGAGGAGTAGATACTAGAATAAATTATGCAGGTTGGGTGAGACCTACTGGCTAGAGAGTGCACTTTCCCATTCAACTTCTGAGGATGCCCCCCACCCCCGAAAACAGGAGGATAAGGATAGTGATGGGGTCAAGAAAGTGTGAAAAAAGAAGCAAACTCCACACTTATTTTTCTGTTAATATTGTTGCACTAAGTGCAAGATCCTTTCCCAAAAGTCCCCATTGGTCTAAAGCTTCCATTCAGAGTGGGCTGGGCCTGATTAAAGGGGAGTCATGGCTTGTCCCTACAGCTTCTTTGAGGAATGAGCAGAGTAGAATGAAAATGAAATGTGTTGAGGTTCAGTTAGTCCCATGAGATGTAGTTTCTAAAGGTCCTGGTGGATCCACAGAGAATGAAAGAGACTTGTGCGAGAAATTTACTCTATCCCCTTCGGGAGCACAGTTTGACTTCAGAATAACATCGCTGGTTCTTCAACAGGGGCTGTGTGTGAACAATGCTGTTGTGTTTGTAAACGACTTCAGTCTTCCCAGAAGCTGACAGGTGGCAGAGTTAAAAATACCTAGGAAGGAATTAAAATACATACCCCTTTACACTCCTGAAGCAGCCAATGTTAAACAGGGGTGCACCTTTTTGCATGCTTATGCCCGCATACATGTTATTCTCCAGAGCATTTTTCACTTACTTGAATGTTTTTCCATGTCAGTCCCTATCTCCTGCATTCTTTACTGCATTATTATAATGTAACCACTCTCCTTTCATGGGCAATTAGGTCATTTTCAATTTTGTTATTGCATTAAATAGCATTATAAGCACTAGGCAAGGTTTTGCATTGTTTGAAGCACTTTGACATGTAATCCTCCTAACTATTCTGAGATAGGTGTAATTAATAGTATTTTGTTAAAGATTTTTAAAAATTATTTATTTGACAGAGATCACAAGTAGGCGGAGAAGCAGGCAGAGAGAGAGAGAAGGAAGCAGGCTCCCCACTGAGCAGAGAGCCTGATGTGGGGCTTGATCCCAGGACCCTGGGATCATGACCTGAGCTGAAGGCAGAGGCTTTAACCCACTGAGCCACCCAGGCGCCCCATTTTTTTAAATCTTTTAAGTAATCTCTACCCCCAACATGAGGCTCGACCTCCCAACTCCCAAGATCAAGAGTTGCATGCTCTACTGACTGAACGAGCCAGGGGTCCCTCTTTTAGCACATCTTTGCACACAGGTATGAGCACTGTTTCAGAAGAAATGTATTAAAAGAAACCCTGCTTTTAATGGATTCGAAGTAGAGGACAAACATTTTCTTAAGGGGCCGGTGTGGTACTTTCACCACAGGCCGTGGCAGAACACAGGTCTCTCTCTTCCCACCGGCTCTTTGGCATCTAGACTAACAGTGCAATTGAGAACTGTATCTCTCGCAGCTAGATGAGGAACTAACTCTAGGAGGACAAAGAACATTAAGTTGACTAGGTGATAAAAATGAGTTATCTTGGATTCAGATACATGAACACATCTTTATCACCCCTCCCATCCCTTTCTAGAACATCCCCAAAGCAAAACCCCACTCCCAGTCACATCCCCGCCCCCCAGCATTGCCAGTGCCTTACCAGTGGTCAAGAGAAACGAACAGGAACCACACACTACAACTGGCCTCAATTTTGTTCTATGTAGAGCAAGGTTTGAGGCCACAAGTGATAAACTCATTTCCCAAACTCAATTGAGAGCACAGGTTGTTGAAGACCAACACACAGAGAGCATTTCTCTCGGTCACATTTGAAGTGGTGTGCAGAGAGGATTTGCTAAACAATGGATTCATAGGGAACCCCTACAGAAGAGACCCTGAGAAAATTAAACTGTGTAAGCTGTATCTTTTATTCTCGAGATCCACAAGACTGTGCAGAGCAGCCAACTGTCAAGACACTGAAGATTTGGGAGAAATAACACCACTGTTCAAGTCCTAATGCCCAAACCACGACTAGGTTTTTATTCAGTGAAATACTTTTATTCTCCAGGTTTTCTATCAAGGGTTTTATTAAGTGTAAAGGAAAGCCTGGGAAAGAATCAAGACTTATCTTTGAAACCCAGCTTCACTAGAAAAAGGCCTGTTCTTACTTTGCCGAATATTCAGCAAAACACCACCTTAAAAACACTAGTTTGAGGGGCGCCTGGGTGGCTCAGTGGGTAAAAGCCTCTGCCTTCAGCTCAGGTCATGATCTCAGGGTCCTGGGATGGAGCCCCACATTGGGCTCTCTGCTCGGCAGGGAGTCTGCTTCCTGTCTCTCTCTGCCTGCATCTCTGCCTACTTGTTATCTGTCAAATAAATAAAATCTTAAAAAAACAAAACAAAACAATAGTTTGAGGATATATGCCTAAAACATTGTCAATTTTGAGGTATCTAACAGGACTGGCAAAGACTATCTTGGCAGGACACTTGGATTTGAGTTCTTGGCTTGAACTAAGAAATAGGCATTGAGCAAGTCAACCATAAAATGTTGGCACTGGAGAGGATGTCACCTTCCAATATCGAAATCCTTCCCATCTGAAAGTGAATGTTGTTTCCTTAAATCTAAAATGAATTTTCCACCACCACCTCCAAAGGTTTAACGTAGCTGTTTTGCCCTTTTTAGCTCAAGCATTACCATTCTAGGGTGTTGAAATACTTACTGAAAACAGCCCACTAGTTTTTCCACAGTCCAGTTTAGAACGAAAACCTTGGTTCAGTACACCAACTTAGTATTTCATACTCAAACTTAAGTAAATTTCTAGGACAGAAATTAAGAAACTACAGCTAAAACAGAGTTCCCAAAATTATGCAGCAAGCCAGCCACTGTTGGGTATACCTACAGACTGAGGCCTGTTTCTTGGCATAATGTACAGCTTTGTCCTCACACACCTCTGGGTGATTTAAGAGGTTCTTACTCCCGTGGCTGCCTGGGTGGTTCAGTCAGGTGAGTCTTTGGCTTGGGTCATGATGTCAGAGCGCTGGGATTGGGTCCCATGACAGGACTCCTCAGCAGGAAGCCTACTTCTCATTCTGCTTCTCTCCCTGCTCTGCTGTTCTATCTTTAAGTTCTTGTTCTTACTCCTAACAGCACACTTGAAATCACATTTTTGCCCCAGAAGTTATTTTCCTACTAGTGTCAATTTGGGAAAACCCAATAGGTCTTCCAACTTCTCCCCACTACATTGCACTCCCTTCAACTCCCAATTTTGTCCCAAGCTGAAAACCACTTTTGCTCTTTACTGAAGTTCCACAACAGGGCATTGTGAATGCAGAGAGAACTTAAGCTATCGTTAACAATAAAGGGTACCCTCCCATCCAGATAAGGTTCTTACTCCATTTTATTGGAAACATGTTTATGGATGTGTAAGAACTGCTTGCATCTGGCTAACTCTATGGTGAAGATTTTTGTCAAGTCTCAGCTCATTTGCTGTTACTTTACTGATTCTCCTTAAAAAAAATGTGAAGTTACCATTAAGGACCAGAGGCACCTAGCAGTTGGCAGAACATGCCATTTGATCTCAACAGCTTTGAGAGTTCAAACCCCATGTTAGGCGGAGCTTACTTTTAGGAACCACCTTCATTTGTTGCGTCAACAAGTTGCCTTGGATCAGGTCATTCCTCAAACCTGAGTTCTTCCAAATCTGTTGACGAGGACTCCACTTGGTTTGAAGTTCATGTACTGCAGAGAAATTAGGGTTTCATAACCTATGGTCAGAACCTGAATGGAAGGCACTTGACAGCCAACATGAGCAGTCAACCAGTAATCAAAATACTCGAGGACACAACTTAGCAGCCTCAACCAAATTTCATTTCTCTATAATGCTTCATTAGCTTTACCACTATTTAAGAGGAAGATAGTAATCAAGTTTGCTTCCCCTCATCAAGCCTCCATATTCAGCAACTTTTAATTGTGCAATACTTAAGAAATGGTTCCCCCTTACATCAAGATCATTCAGACAGACCTTGAATGAAGGACAAATTCCCCTAGCACACCCTTTTCTCAACCAAAATGACTTAGTGCTGATGAAACGGACTTTTTGAATGCCAAGTCCCTTCTTTGAACATGGTTTTAATCAGGTAATAGTCCCCACACCACTACATAATTTCACGACAGACACCAGGTATGCTACCATGCAACAAAACTTTTATTAACATTTTGAACAGCTATTGAGGAAACCAGTGACTCAGTTATTACTGAAACTGGTAATTTCTAAACTTAAATTGGGGCAAAATGGCTATAGTGCAGAGCAATGCCATCACTGGGCACTATGAATTCAAAACTGAAGAATTAACAGCCACCCCTCAGACGGAGAACCAGATGGAGAGTTGACTCTTTCTGGATGTTGTAATCAGAAAGAGTGCGGCCATCTTCTAGCTGCTTGCCGGCAAAGATAAGCCTCTGCTGGTCAGGGGGGATGCCTTCTTTGTCTTGGATCTTGGCCTTCACATTTTCGATGGTGTCACTGGGCTCCACCTCCAGGGTGATGGTCTTGCCGGTCAGGGTCTTCACGAAGATCTGCATGCCACCTCTCAGGCGCAGGACCAGGTGCAGGGTAGACTCTTTCTGGATGTTGTAATCAGAAAGAGTGCGGCCATCTTCCAGCTGCTTGCCGGCAAAGATAAGCCTCTGCTGGTCAGGGGGGATGCCCTCCTTATCTTGGATCTTGGCCTTCACATTCTCGATGGTGTCACTGGGCTCCACCTCCAGGGTGATGGTCTTGCCGGTCAGGGTCTTCACGAAGATCTGCATTTTGACCTAGATTTTAAGAAAAAAAAACTGTCAGCGTTACCATCTCAAGATCCTTGTATTAGCGGGGTGCCTGGGTGACCCAATGGGTTAAGTGCCTTCACTCAAGACACCCGCTTAGGTCATCAGAGTCGTGGGAGAGAGCCCCAGGAGTCAGGATCTGCGCTAAACATGGAGCCTGATTGGAATTCTGCCCCCTCCTCCGCCCCGCCTCTTAAAGTAAATAAATCTTAAAAATCTTTGTATTACCCACACTTATAACCCATTCTCTAAAGGGAACAACTTCATCCTCCAAAGTGCTTTAACCACGTTAACATCGCTCACAACTCCCCCCTTTAGTATTCCTGAATCAGCCGCTGAATGCAAAATTTAATCAAGGCTTCAACTTAAACGGAAAAAAGAAAACAAGGAAAAAAAAACCCCAAAGGTTAATATCCAGAACCGTAATTACTGTAGTCTTTTAAATCGTCTTCCCCCGCACCCTCTGAATTTCCCCAAAACCTGAAGATACATAGAATTTAAAAACAAAACAAAACCCGAATCTCGGTAAATAAAAATTACCGTCTGAAGAAAAAAGTGAGGTGGGACCCTTTCACCGCGCTGGGATTCAAAACTCAAGACAGTTCTAGAAAGCATACTAGACTACCTCTTTTCCTCCTTCCCCCCCTGAAGCAGACGCGATGGAATCTCCATTGGTTAAGTGTCGGTTGGTGTCTGTCGGCGCGCGCGCGCCAACCGCCCCCGCTCCCTCCACGTAAACAAGGCCCACTCTTCCGGAAAGGCCCGGCGCCGCAGCGCCGCGTCACGTCGCCCTCCCCTCCCCCAACCCCTTTCCCTGAGGCGCCCCCCCACCTCCCAATCCGTCAGCCTGGTCTCACTTAGACCCCCTCTCCACTCCTCCTAGGTCTCGAAAGCTGCCGGCCAGTACCTGTTAGCGAGTGGAAGGACACTGAACGCAATCTCGTCGAGTCACTCAAACACCAAGACACCCACACCCGACAATGCCAGCCGCTCCTGAACGGTGGCGGCTCCGCGGGGCTGAAATTTATGCAGCGTCTGTTGCGTCACTCATCACTGCCTACGTAGCCGCCGTGTCCGTACGCGGCTGAAAGTAGTTCGCGCGGCCCCACCTCCCGCGGCCCGATTAGGCCCTTCCACTGAGCCCCAAGTTCCTCAGAGCCGAAGGAAAAACCCTGAAAAATCAGCTCTCCTCTCTTCCAGGCGACGCTTCTCCTCCCTTAGGAAAAAGTAGGAAAATTATCTGGCGGATGGATTTGAGTTAAGGGGACCTTCCTCGAAAGCTCTCGAAACTTCCTTGCAGCGCCGGCAGTGATTGGTGAAGCGTGTGAAGGCGAGGCCGGCGCTGATTGGTGGGACACGCGGCGGCTCGGTTGTTGCTGGGCTCCAAGCTGGGGTGGGTTACCGCCGACGTTGCTAAGTAACTCAGTGCGCGTGCGCCACAGAGGCGCGCCATTGAGAGAGAGGGGTACTTCCGGCCGGTGGGGGGGAGGGGTAGTTTGCTCTCGCCTCCGAAGTCCCAAATCCCCCTAAGTCTTGGGTTTTTCCCGCGTTAGGTAGGGGGAAAGGGTCTTCCGCAGCGACTTTCCTGGGCGGGCCACCCCGATTCGGGTTCGGAGGCGCTCAGGAGCGGCGCGGCCCGCCGCTGTGTTTTGTCAGTGTCTGCAGCGGAAGCACACTTCCCCACCCCCATCTTAACGGGAGCCCGTAGGGCTGGTTTCATTTTCGCCCTTGGTTATAGCAGGATGAAGGAGGTTTAATGCCACTCTTTTTAGAGTCAGAATGCTTTTGTCCTTCTCAATTCCCGAGGAGAATCCGTACGCTAGACTCTGGGGTCGGGACATGTGGGGTGGGTGGCAGGCCTCCCCCCCCCCCCGCCCCGCCCCCACCAAGGAGGCCCAGAGAGACTCGGCTAGGGCTCCCGGTGACCACGACGGTGGGCAGAAACCTGCAGTCTCTTTCACCTCCTTGCTGTTTCCCCGAACTCTGGTTGGGGGAAAAGACCTGCGGATCGGGAAGCCGAAAACCCGCTTTGGGAGACGAGGAATTCGTGTACAAGAAAATAGTGTTTCTCCTCCAAACGTGTGACCCTATAAGGTGGCATTTCTCAGCTACGACCCCTCTAGCTGGTTTCCCTACGCTGTGGGTGTGGCCCCATGTCCCGCAAGGAGATAACCCGAGGAACGCCACTAAGGCAGGGGCGTTGGGCTCTGGGGGACACGTGGCCCAGAGTCTGAGTCATGGAGCCGGGGGTGGAAATAAACAAGCAGAGGGCTGTTTGTGGCGTAATAACCAACCTCCCTAAGTGAGGAGTAGTGTGCAGATGAGCACGTTAATGCAAATCAGCGGCATACCCCTCAGAAAAGGTCGTCAGTCATTGAAATACAGCATTTTTAAAAAAATATTTTATTTGACAGACAGAGATCACAAGCAGGCAGAGAGGCAGGCAGAGAGAGAAGGGGAAGCAGGCTCCCCGCGAAGCAGAGAGTCCGATGATGTGGGGGCTCGATCCCAGGACTCTGGGATCATGACCTAAGTCAAAGGCAGAGGTTTTAACCCATTGAGCCACCCAGGTGCCCCTGAAATACAGCATTTCTAAGCGTCCTTTTCCAAAACGGTGTCCGTGAGTTAACAGGATAGACAGGTAAATGATGAGTTTAACAACAGTTTAAGTTGAATGAACTAAAATTGGGTAAGGTCTGTTTACTAGAATAACATAAATATAAGTTTCTTTAATTTTGCACTTGGAGGTCGCTGATGAAAGGCTTCTTTGTCACAAAGTGTGATTTTTAAATTTTTTTATTTGTTTTTTGTTAAACTTAGAATGAGTCTGAGTTTGTGTCACGAACTGGCAGCTTCTGAGTCATGGAGTTTGGGTGGTAGAATAATCTAGAATGGAGAGCTCCTGACGGATAGGATGACTTCATTTGGAGGTTCTAGCAATTGCCAGAACCAAGTTAGTCATACAGCTTCCTGGTTTAATGTTTTCCCAAAGTGGGGCATTTGGTAACCTCAACAAAGCAAAATGTTTTCAGAAGGAAGACAAGTGCTGTACTTGTAAAACAAGGTGAATTTTTTATGGTCTGTTTTTAAGTGAACATTTTAGTCATAATGTCATTTCCGGCAGTATATTGTAAAAGATGATTTGTAAACAAATTAGAGAACAGAATTATAAAATCCCAAAGACCAGGAATTTGATAATTTAGCACAATACTTGGCATTGTGTTCAATACATGTGTAGTAAATGTAATGCAGTTTTACCTTTGTTCATTTGGGGGGGAACACCCCAATTTAGTGACAGCCTCAGGCACCAAAATACAAAGCAAAAAAACAGAGTTAATTTTCCATAGACAAAATATTTTTTGCGTAGGCAATTCCTTTGGAAAAAAACAAAGATTCTAAGTAATTTCACTTGGCTAGATGTCTTTTAATAAAAATCTGTGCGAAAACTGTGCTTCCAATGATAAATTCACAGTTGTTTTCTTGACATTATCATCTGATATTTAAAATACAGAGTTAATAAGTGGTTTGTCATTTCCTCGTTTTGCTGTTTATTTCAATAGAATTATGAAACTCCTGATTCATTACCAGCAAGTTAGAAACTTTGATACTGAATGTCCAAATGAACACAGGGAGAAAGTCTGTATTGTCTTTACATTTGGGCCTTAAAATTATGAAATCTGTCCAATAAAACATAGCTACTTTAAAATGTTTACATTGGGACGTCTGGGTGGCTCAGCGGGTTAAAAGCCTCTGCCTGGGCGCCTGGGTGGCTCAGTGGGTTAAGCCGCTGCCTTCGGCTCAGGTCATGATCTCAGGGTCCTGGGATCGAGTCCCGCATCGGGCTCTCTGCTCAGCAGGGAGCCTGCTTCCCTCTCTCTCTCTCTCTCTCTCTCTGCCTGCCTCTCTGTCTACTTGTGATATCTCTCTGTCGAATAAATAAATAAAATCTTAAAAAAAAAAAAAAAAAAAAAGCCTCTGCCTTTGGCTCAGGTCATGGGCTCAGGGTCCTGGGATTGAGCCCCGCCTGCTTTCTCCTGTCTGCCTCTCTGCTACTTGTGATCTCTGTCAACTAATAAATAAAAATATTTTTTAAAAATGTTTACTATGGAATATTACATAAGTGGAAGTTGGAGATAATAACTATAACCAAACACATAACCAACACCCAACTTTATTAAATCCGAACATTTTGTTATTTGCTTTAGCTTTTTTTTTTCCCCCGGCAAAAAACCCAGCATACTATAAAACTTATCCTCTTTCCAGTTTTAAGTGTACAGTTAAGTAGTATTAATTATATTTCACATTACTGTGACTTGTAGATTTCTAGAATTTCTTCAACTTTTAAAAAAATATTTTATTCATTGACAGAGAGAGAGCACAAGCAGGGGAAGCAGCAGAGGGAGAGGGAGAAGCAGGCTCTTCTGTTAAGCAGGGAACCCAATGCGAGGCATGATCGCTGGATCAGGACCTGAGCAGAAAGCAGACGCTCAACTCACTGAGCCACCCAGGGGCCCCTAGAATTTTTTCATCTTGCGAAGCTGAAACCCTGTACCCACTTAACAACTACTCTCCATTTCTCCCCGCCCCCAGGCCCTGGTAACCACTCTTCTACCTTCTGTTTCTATGATTCTAACCACTTTAAATACCTTATCAAAGTGGATTCCTATAGTATTTGTTTTTACTGGCTTATTTCATTTAGTATAATGTCTTCAGGGTTCATCCATACATGTGACAAATTTCTTTTTTTTTTAAGGCTAATAGTCCATTGAATGTATATACCACATTGTGTGTATCTACTTATCTGTCTGTAGATATTTGGGTCTCTTCCACCTCTTGGCTATTGTGAAAAATGTTGCAATGAATATGGGTGTGCAAATATCTCTCTGAGATCCTGCTTTCAATTCTTTTGGATATATACTCAGAAGTGGGATTGCTGGATTACATGGTAATTCTTTTTTTAAGTTTTTATGGCAATTCTGTTTTTAAGTTTTCCATAATGGTTGCACCATTTTACATAACCACAAACCATGTACTAGGGTTCCAATTTCTCCACATCCTACCAATACTTGTTACTAATGGGTGTGAGGTGATATCTTACTGTGGTTTTGATTTGCATTTCCCTACTGATTTATTATTTTTATTTTTAAAAATATTTATTTATTTGAGAGAGAGTGAGAGAGAGCACAAGAGTGGGGGAGGGTCAGAGGGAGAAGAGAAGCAGATGCTTCTCTGAGCAGGGAATCGACATGGGGCTCAATCCCAGGACCCCAAGATCATGACCTGAGCTGAAGGCAGATGCTTAACAACTGAGCCAGCCAGGCACCCCTCAATGACATTTTATTTTTATTTTATTTTTATTTTTTTAAAGATTTTATTTATTTATTTGACAGGCAGAGATCACAAGCAGGCAGAGAGGCAGGCAGAGAAAGAGGAGGAAACAGGCTCTCCGCGGAGCAGAGAGCCCGATTCGTGGCTCGATCGCTGGACCCTGGGATCATGACCTGAGCCGAAGGCAGAGGCTTTAACCCACTGAGCCACCCAGGCACCCCCCTCAATGACATTTTAAACTTTTCTTCATTGTGTCTAATAAGTGAAACTTATTTACTGTCAAGTCAAAGAACAATAGCTAGACAAAAGATGGAGATGGTTTTATAAGTTGATGTGTTGTTTTTGTGAGCTGTGAGAACACTTCAACACACATTAGATTTATTGTGGGAGCCGTCTTGGAAGCAGCCCTTTGCCCCATTTTTGGTCGGTTAGTACATCTTCTAATATATAATACAATCTCTGAAATATAATGGAATTACCCTACCTCACATTTGAAAATGCAGCAAATATGCATGTGAAGTTAGCCTTTATATTAGTCAGTTCTCATAGGTATATATTTACTACAACAGATTTATATTCCATTATAATAATTTTCTCCAAGGAACTATTTCTGGGCGCTGTACACTCTTGATTCGTGAGCCAAGAAAAAAAAACACTGGGTCTGCTAGTCCATTCATCCATCCAGCAGACATTT